AAAAAAAAAAAAAAAAACCAACAAACAAAAAAAACAGAAACCAAAAAAGCAATTTAAAGCATTTAAAAACACACTATTTTAACCTTCTTCTCTGCTCCTGTGCCAAGAAAAAAAAACGTTTACTGTAAGACTAGGGAGGATCTGTTTAAGGTTTTGCTGTCTTTATGTGTAGTAGCAGAAAGTGGGGAAGTATTAAATAAAGGAGTGCTTTCATTGAGGAATGCCTATTGGAATTACCTGTGATACTTTACAACTGCGAAAACCCTAAACCCAACCAAAAATGACTAAAATTCTGTACAGGGTAGGGTCAAGGCATGGGTAATTAAAAACAAATCCAAACTAACAAAAACAGCCCAAATGATTCTCACTGAATTAAGACTACACTGTTTTACTTCAGAATATCCATTACTGGATATGGTGGAATCCAGCTGACTACTGATTACCAAAGCCATGATCAGGGAGGAACTAGACAAAACATGGGAACAGATGCCAGAAATATGGAAATAAAAGACAACATTCATCAATGTCTGAGCATTCTCTAAAGAGAACAGTGGTGGCAGATTTTCAGGCTCATCAGATTGAGAACCTCAGGTGAAACACAACACAATTCTGTACCCTAGTAGCTAGGACTATCTCCTCCTGCTTTCTACTCTTTTAATAGCAATCTGATTGGTGCATGGCAATGGATTCCAAACCTAACTGTACACTGGAACCAACTTTATTTTTTTAAGTTTTATTTTCAAGTAGTCTCTACACCCAATATGGGGCTCGAACTCACAACCCTGAGATCAAGAGTCGCATGATCCACCAAATAAACCATCTAGTTGCACCCCATCTTGGAGCTTTTAAAAAACAAGTTTCGGGGTGCCTGGGTGGCTCAGTCGGTTAAGCGTCCGACTTCAGCTCAGGTCACGATCTCGCGGTCCGCGAGTTCAAGCCCCGCGTCGGGCTCTGGGCTGATGGCTCAGAGCCTGGAGCCTGCTTCTGATTCTGTGCCTCCCTCTCTCTCTGCCCCTCCCCCGTTCATGCTCTGTCTCTCTCTGTCTCAAAAATAAATAAACGTTAAAAAAAAAAAAATTAAAAAAAAAAGGTTTCCTAGGCTCTACCCTAGTCCTCCTGAATAAGAATATCTGGGGTGGAATGCTGAAAAAACCTCCCTAAATTATTTCAGTGAGCAGATAAACCTGGTAGTAATCAGCATCCAAATAAAAGAGGAGTAGTGGCACATTAATTCATATATTTCATATATAAGGGACGAAATAAAACACGCTTCAGGGTCAAGTACTGAGGGCTGTTATGGGCTACAAAAGAGAGAGTATGTTTGTACATAAAACTAACTTGTCTGTTGAATTCCTCTTCATTTTCCATCCACATGTACTCTGCAAATGGATTGTCATCTTCATGAGAATGACCATTAATAATCACATCTTCATTGATGATGCTTGGGCTAGTACTGCTGCGACTTGGATCTTTCATGGTTGGCGTTAGTTGTCGTTTTTAACCTTAAAAGAAAAACAATAGTTAATTGTGTTAGTCATTCTTTCGGTTCTTAGTGAGCAGCTATTATCTCCAGGAATTGTGGTTAGGTATTACATGCACATGATGTATTAAGGCACATGATAAACCGAGCAAGTGGAAAGTTTAATTTTTTTTTTTTTTTTCTCAAATGATCTCAATATTTAAGAAAGTGCTGAGAATAGCCTAGATTCATCTAGTGCTTTGTGGTAACAGCAAATGACAGTAATCAACAGCTTGAACGTAATTCCCAAATCAACCAATTTTTTAAATAATGGATATCTCTTGCTTTATAAAACAAGCATGGTCTGGAAGATCTAAATCAAGTGACTTTATGAAAAGCAAATTCTACTTTTAACAGGCGATATTAAAAAGCTCAGAGATTGCAAATGAAAACAGACTTTTAATAACCTCTTAGTTCCTCAGTCCCAAGGTAAAGAATGCTGTGGATCTCTAGACTTCATACCACACTCTCTATTTGCTTTGTATCTCTGGGTCCATGTCGAATTTCTCCATGTCTGGATCTGTCCACTGTACAATGATTTTCAAGCCAAGTAATCTCATATATGTGTGTGTGTGTGTGTGTGTGTGTGTGTGTGTGTATA